GATCCTGGGTTTGGTCAGGTCCATTACCACCCTCGCTATGAGCATTTTTTTTTTTTGCCCTTTTTTTACCATCATATATTCAGATTATTGGCAACAATGTCACTATCACCCATCATTAGATTTCAAGATGTCTAATTTGTCCTTCAATAGCTAAAGATGACTACGAGTTCTAATTGTATACAATCCTTAATAAATCAAAACGAATAGGGCATACAATATTTTATCTCCAACAATTTACGGGTACGGGTTGTTGGATTTGGTGCTATCCAAATCACCCACATATGAAAGTCCTAGATTATGTCGGATTAACAAATTCTCATGGTATGTGAGATTGAGATATTTCCATATTATGTGGAATTGAGATATATATTTGATAAGTTTTCTAGTAAAATAGAAATCCAAATAGGATTATGACTCTTGGATATATCTTTTGGTCGTTTGAGATATATGTAAGATATATATGAAATTTTATATTTAGTATGAACTCCTAATCTTAATCTTTATACATATGGAATAAAAGTGCATAGAATTCGTGTGCCCAATTTGGGTCACTGGGAATGGTGGTCTCTCTAGAGAGAGAGAGAGAGAGAGAGAGAGAGAAGTAAAGCCTCATGTGTATAAGATGTAATTTCTTCTCAGAGAAGAGAGCTTCCTATGGAGATAAAATTTTGATGGTGCCTCTTTTAAGTAGTTCCATGGAGATAGGGTTTGCTCGAAGGAAGGGAGAGTGGTTTAAAATGGTTTGGTCGATTGTGTTTTTGTCGAGGTTTGTTTCAAAATCTTTAATGTAATTTTTATTGGTACAATGGATTTCAGTTTGCCGTGCCCGTGGATGTCGCCTTTCTGGGGTGAATCACGTAAATTTTTATGTTTTTGTGGTATTTATTTCATGCTTTATTTCTCGTACTTTATTTGTTAAAAATCAACCCATCAAGCTTAAAGCTTCTACATACAAGACGATTCGGGTCCAACCAGACCTAGACTCAAATGGTATTCGAATCCAAGTCTGCCGAGTCTGGACCCATAGTAGGACCCGTCCGGGTCCATTGCGACCCCTATTGCAAAACACGAGGTTCCACTGCTCCTCATTCTAACCTTTTAGTATTTACTGTAGAGGAACTCTCCTGCACACACATATATATGCCTATAGTTGCAATCTCCCATGGGCTAAATTCTATAGTATCGGCTCACACCTCAAAAGTTACGAAAAGAAAACCTATCTAGGGGATTTATTCGACCTTGGATATTTTACATACACACAATCTAGAATTTACCACCTTTGAAAATACAAGATTAATGATAGAAAGGGTCGGGAAAGGTTAAATGTTTATTTATTAAATATTTGGCTTCTTTCTGTACACTAATTTTTTTTCCACAAAAACCTAAACCCCTAACTTGTAATCCTAAACTCTAGGGACCATATTAGCCTAGCGGACCATAGTACACCCTAACCTATAGTGTAATCCTGAGGCAAAGCAACAAATTACTTGAATCCAACCAAATCAAATTATCTAAATCTGTTTGAAGGTATTCTCTTTGATCCAAACTTATGTAGAACAGTAGACAGGGTCCTAGAAAGCCAGGAATGCCAATATTGGACGCTTGAAAACTATTTAACTATAGATTATTTTCCATTTTTTTGCGCTTTTCCTATTTCTTACCCAATTTCAAGCCAACTCTATCGATACTGTGTGAGGAGAAATATTTTCCCGCATATCTATCTTCGCATATATTATAATTCAACACAGCTCACTATTCTCTATCAATGTGTTTAATTATTTAATTGAAATCATTCAACAATAGGATTTCATATGAGATCTTTCCAGATTTGGCTATAAATAATTTTTTTAAAAACTCACTATTTATAGTAGCTTACTTATTATGTACGGTTGCATACGTAATTATAACTAGGGTAGTTTTGTCATCTGTATAAGAATAAAATTGATATATATATATATATATATATATATATATATATATATGAAAATATTTCTTAAGCTACTTGCTATAATGAATAGTATTAACTACAAGCTCCTAGCCGTCAGATCTTCATCGGATGGTTCAAAATTTATATAATTATTTTAATTTTAATGTTTTTCTATAAATCAAATTAAGATGAAATTTTAAGTGTATCTACCTAACACCATATAAAAATATAAAACAATTACTTTGAATAATTTAAAATGATCAAATTAGCCTCATAATTTTTTAAAGGTATTAAAGAAAAAATAGTGATTGTTTTGATAAATACACCCATCTAAACTTGTTCAAACATTAATCTTTGCATTTTGAGGAGCAACATTTTTGTTTAAGTGGTTTTAAATCTTTCTCCTCTCTAAAAGTTTTTTCTTGCTTGATGGTATTCCATCTCTTTTTACATATGGTTGCTCGCCCAAGTGGCATACAGGGAAAGATGTTGATTTAGGCTTTCTTTTCTTTTCAACCGATTCTTTCACATTTTTGTTTCCTTAAGTTTCCTTAAGTTGTGGGTTCTGATAAGAAATGAAGAAACTTTGGGACATTTTGCATGTACTAGGTATAGTGATAATTCATTGTTTCAATAAAATTATTTGTGAGAATGGATAATCTATTGTTTGGCAGTGTCCATCATTAAGTTATATGAGATCAATTTTTAAGTAGTTTTATATATAAATTTATCTTTTTGAAAATCTTATTTTAGTTTTCAAAGTAATTTACTTAAAATCACATATTTCCAAAAAATATAGCTAACAATAGCAAAAAAATAGCCAAAAAAGTAAATAATTAAACAATATTACACATAATATGATATATGTACCAAACAACTAATAAAATTATGTTATTCAGAGTATATTTAATTTAGATAAGATTGTCTTATACAAGATAAAATTAATTAGTGATATGGAACCAATCATTTCTAATTACATGTTATATTTTAGAGGTAAATATTTCTTTAGAGGATTAGTAACGCAAGCACTAATGGCGTTGAGAGAGTAATGGTTTACCATCTACCAAACACTGCCATGCCATTTTAGGGACATTGAGCAAGGAAAACACACAAAGTCGCCCCTGTTGAAATCTGATGGTTTGGGTGATGTCAAAATACTGTAGGAAAATTGACTGCTCATGCTCTCTCTCTATGTTGAGTATTAGGGGACCACGACAAAGATAGGAGAGTTTGCATAGTAAGAAAATCCCCCATAACTACGCTGACAGCGATATCCAACGCTCAGCAACCGGTTGCACTCGGTTAAACCAACCAGCTGTAGCTGGTTGCCCCTTCATTTCAATGACAATAATCGTCTTTTTTATTTTTTAAGAAATTGTCGCTCGAGTCCAATATTTTAAACATCGGACTCTCATAAATTTCACTTTGGCATTTTCTGGTATCGCCAACATGGGACTGCTTTGGATTTTGAATTTTTTCGTATTATGTTTTTAGTGATACGTTATTTGTGACACCGGACCTCAATAGGATAGATTTATGTGAAATCGAACATGTCTAAGGTGTCCAATGGTCCAAAATGGTTACCACTTACTACAGGTCTAGTAGAATGTTCAAAAGATGTTATTAACCCCTAATATGCCAATGAAAAACACTACAGACTAAAAATTACGATAATTAAAATAAAAAAATAATCTAATGTTGCAAACATCAAATCGAGGGCATAATTGAAATAAATAAAAAATGGGCATACTTTTCCAAAAGGGATGAGGTTTCCATAGGTGTTATGGAGAAAAATAAAATCACCATCACCAAACCATGCCGAGTGACACAGTTTTCACATTGAAAATGTCTATGATGGTCAAATAAACTAATTCAAATACTCATTATGAAGAGGACTCGGTTTTTATGCGGCCAAATCTGCATATGTACAAATGCAGGCCTCCAAGAAATCTATTTTTGAAATGGATTTTAAGACTTAAATTTTAAGCACATGTAATCTCTAACATGGAGATCATAAAAATGAAAAAATAAATAAATTTTAAAAACTAGAAATAATAATTCTAATAAGAAAACATTTGAACTATTAGTCTCTAGATGGAACACCTACTTGCATCCATCTTTAAGATGGATGCTCTACAATTTCTTGACCGCATATGTAGAAATGCGGTCCCGTCTACATGAAACAATTTTCCTTATGAAAACTGAAACTACAAAAAAGATAAAGTTTCTATGAGTCCATGTAGAAAGGAGTCCTTTCTTAAAAATATATTTTTGAGATGGATTTTTTTGTCTCAATTTTTAAGGGCATATAATCTCTAATATGGATATCCTGAATATCAAAAAATCAATTAAATTTAAAAATAAAAAATAACAATTTTACGAAGAAAACATTTGGACCATTAGTTTTAACTCTTTTTTAACAGGACCACCTATTAGCATCTATTTTTAGGATGGACACTTTATACCTAAGGGGACGCATTTCTACATTTGTGTCCCACGCATGGAACAATTTTCCCTACAAAAATATAGATCTCGTGGATCTATTAATACTTTAAATATAGTCGGTCCCCATAATGCATTTTATGTTATACTATTTTTATGTTTGAAAATCCCTTTGTTTTTTCCCATAAGAGGTGGAGATGATCTTTTCTAATATCAAAAGTAGAAGGTTTTTAATGAGATTAATGTTACTTTCTTTCTTAGGCCCAGGGCGCTAACCTTCCTTGTATACATACACTATTCGGTCTTTCTTCTTTAATGAATACAGGGTGGCGAACATATACCCATTTATAGCAATTTGGGTTTTAGGGTTAGTTCTGAATTTTGATTCAAAGAGGTGTATTTTTTGGGGAGACAGGTCACTGCAATGAACCAAAAAGGATTGCAGGGAATACCACTAAGGCCATCACCTTTATGTACACAAGAGAGAGATTAAAAAGGCACTCAAAAGTAAATTCTGCTGTTTTACTGGTTTTCTTCCTATCTTCCTTTCTAGAGCGAGAGAAGGAGCTTTCCCATTGGCCTCTGAAAGAAAGAGAGAGAGAGAGAGATCTTCACTTTATCATAGTTGATATGTGGGTCTTCATTGATAAAATCGAAAATTGCAGAAATGGGGGCTCCTTTGAGGACAAAGAAAGCATTTCGGATCATCTTTTCTCTCAGTGAAGCAGCCATCCTTTGGACTGAAGGGAGCTCCTAATTCTTCTCTTTTCATCCCCACCCTCTATTCTACAACTTTTTTATCTTTTCAGTTTCAGGTATGCACACTTCCTCTCAAACACTTTTGCATAGTGATGCTTCATGGATACTGATCGTTTGTTTGGATTTATGGTTATTTCTTTCCCTCTTCTTTGTTGTTTCTGCTAAGCAAAATCTCACTGCTCCTGATATTTTGATGAGAGGTGTGATGATTTCTGTCTCAACATATGGGCTTCTATTGTCGTGGCTTAATGATTCATATTTCGATTCGGCTACAATAATGGTACCTTGCTACAACTCTCTCTCTCCTATGTGAGTCTCTGTGTTTAAATATGCTCTCTCTGTCTTTCCTATGTGAGTCTCAGTGTTTAAATATGCTCTCTCTCCCTCTCTCTCTTTCTGCACTTATATGTCTGAGTGTATGTTTCAATAGCCTTTCTCTCTCGTCAAAATATCCGCTCTATATCTATCTATCCATCTATCTGTTTATGTATTTGTCTGTGTTTCAACTTTCAATACTCTCCCTCTCTCTCTTGATCTCTCCACCATAACGTTGTAGAGGTTTGCGAAAATGTGGCTTTTCGGATTTCAAGATTTGATTGCTCTTGTTGGTTTTCAATACATGGGGAGTTTTAATGTGATGATTTTATCAGATTTTCTTACTTTAAGCAATACTACATGAAAGAAAAGTATTCGTCAGATTTGCATATTGTTTGTCAAATTTTTAGCAGTGCTAAATGAGAAAACCTATAGGAGGAACTCTCAAGCATGTTTATTCACGTTAAAAGCTTTACTGAGAGAGGCTTTTCTTTTGAGTTTTTGCAAAAGGCTGGCCTATTCTTTTTGAAAAATGTGATCAACATTGAATATTGGCATTAGTGATTTCATTATATTTTTGCTGATTAATGAAAACGCTTATACTGTAGGCCATCACAATGCCGGACACGAATTACCATAATACAAGAAAACAGATTTATCGCAATAAATGGACGGAATTTGGATCTAATGCTTTTGTTAATAACAATTTACTGAAAATCGACTAGGCTAAGGTACTCGAACATTGGCCGAGACCTCTAGTAACTCGGCCCAGTCTAACTTGCTGAACAAATAAAAAATAAGGACAAAAAAATAATAATTTATTGTATAAGACCCCTTCTTTTACATCATACCTTGAATGGCATGGTGGTTAGCTCTACCTTCCTTGCAGGATGCCACTGTGCACGACGTCTTGTGTTTGATTCTTGCAGGCATACAACAAAATCTGCCTTGCCCAAACGGGAGGGCGACTAACTCGGTGGACTTGGTTGAGTCGCGGTACACTGGTTAAAAATAGGTACAAGTGTTTAGAGAATCGACTCAGCCAAGGTACTCGAGTTTTGGCCGAGGCAAATTACTCGGGTGAGTTTGAATCACTTGCCTTAGTCTAGTTTCTTTTTTTTTTTTTAACAAAATAAAGAACAAAACATAATATGTATAATTAGTGGGCATGTTTTACATTTAGAAAGTTGATGCTGTATAACATTGAGCGGCCGCCTTGAATCTTCGAACCGTACAATTTGTTCATATAAAAATGATAGTCTTTAAGAACAAAAGGGTACACCAGTGGGATTTGAACTTTGACAATGCTAAGAGACATGCGTTGGTAGCAATCGCATATACCTTACATCATATATGACTTAAATTTGTTATGTTAATATAAATAAAGTTTACTAACATGTTCTACAACCTACTCGGCCAAAACTCGCCTTGTCCATAAAGCGTGGCCGAGCTACTCGGCCGAGTCCAAGTGTCCTCGGCTGAGTCTCAGAATGCATGGGTACCATAAGAGCCATCTGCTTATGGTTTTATATGATGGGTTTTCCCTTCTATCAAAAACGAGATTTATTGATATGATGAACAAATTACTTGAGGTTATCCATGTATTTACTATTCAAGTTCTTTTATATGTAAAGACCAGCCTAGGAAATTCAAGCTTTTGAGACAAATATCACAAAGCTTTCCCTGCTCCAGCTTACATCAAGTACACCATAAACCATCATATGTTAAAGGGATACGGTTTCTATATTGTCTAGGCTTTATGAAAATAAAGTAAAGCCTTATCTTAAATCCTCGTCTAGAAAGTACTTTAGCCTTTAGAAATTTCTATGATGGCTCCAAAATCAATTACCAACACCAATTATGAAATGGATAGTCTAGATATTGTGTTATAATGTACAATATTTTTAGAGCTTAAAACCCTAATTTTTCACAACCATAATAGCCAAGGCTGAGATGATCGATTTTAAGATTTTTTGATGTCAGAACTACAAATTTCAAATAGGTTTGAGGTGAGGTTTTACTTATTTTGTTAGGGTTGTAGGCTTATCTGTAGACATGAGGGTGCATCCCTAGTATGAGAGTACACCCAAGGGTATCACAGAACTTCATGTTTGACTTATGTTATTATATGAAGGGAGGTGGGGAGAGGCTGCACCTCTTCATGAGGGGGTTATTCTCCCATGAATGGCATGCACCATGCACCATAAGGTTGCCAGTTCATGAGGAGGTTACCCCTATATGAATGAGATGTCCGCTTCTCTCATTATAAAAAGGGTAGGGATAAAGGTCTCTACAAAACAACAATACACACACGAGAAAGGTGTGAGTGGTGTGTGTGAAAGAGAGTACAATCTCTCTCCCATTCAAGTTTTAAAGATAGAACCAGCCCTAAGAGATAGAGTTGTAAGTAAGAGTCAAGCTCGGACTGCTTCTCAATTGTATTTATGAGCTTCCACTTCACTCGAGGTTTGCGCTGTGGAACAGATTTCAGCAGCTCTAGTTGTTGTTGAACATGCCTATGGGAGTTGATCATTCCTCTCCACACTTGTTCACCAAAACTCTTTTGCAAGCACTAAGGTATGGTACTTGGTTCCAAATTTTTTTATTTTTCTTACGCTTTGGCGGTTGGACCAGTTTTTTTCCAACATTGGAATCAGAACCATCGTAGAACCGGGTTCTCGATTGTGACCGCATTATCGTTTCTGCCTTTTTTATTTTTGAAGGCTCCATTATGGTTGGCCTATAATGTTGCAAAGTGCACATGATGGTTATATAGAAACCATGAGCAGGTGCACTATGTAACCTTATATATCCACCATATAGGTATGCAGGCCGTACGCATTGAGGAGATATCATCCTTATGTATGGGCTATCCAAGTTGATGCCTCCTAGACCATGAGCATAATCACTACTTGATTTTTATGAACATCACATGCTAATCCATGCATGGCAGACCCTACTCATTTTTTTGGCTGGTTTTTGTGGGAGTGCATCTAGGAAGGTGCATCGATTGCTAATTGTGAGGTATTTGAGATGCTAGATCCAAGAAAGAAATTTAAGCAAGATCTTAATATGGCAAAGCAAAATTTTCATATCAAGGCTTTAAGGTTCAAGTTTTCTTCAAGTAACTAGACAATTAACAGGCGTAAAAATGGCAATCTAAGTGCAATCATGGATCAAACAAACCATGAGACATCCATATTAATCGGTGTAAAAGGGCTGGCCCCCCGTTCCTTCGCGAACGAAGTTCAGAATCAACAAGGGTTCGTAGAACGAAGGGAGTGTACAACTGGGGCGCAGAATGTTTTTTGTCTTGAACATAAAATGGATTTTAAAAATGTAATCTCAGATCTCACTAAAGGTGAAAAGTTAAACGGGGGAAATTTTCCTGTGTGGCATAAGAAAATGCAATACCTTTTAAATGAGTAAGTTACTCTTGAGCACCTAACTACTATTAAGAGAAATCCTGAACAAGGTATCGTAGAGGAACTTCTTTATAAATATGAGGCATGGGATAATGTTGACCGTAGCACTTGCTTTACTTTGCTAAGTGTTATGGTTGATGATCTCATTCGTGAATTCGAGGGATTCACCACAGCGAAGGCCATATTGGATGTGCTTAAGCAGAAGTATGCTGGTACTTTCGCACGATTATTATCCTTATCTAGGGCTTTTGAGATTCACAAAATGCCTCTAAATGTATAGATGACAAATCAAGTAAGAAAAATGTCTCAAATGATCCGTGACCTAGAAGTAGATAGAAACAAACTCAGTCACGAGCAACAAATGATCGGATTGCTTAGGTCTCTTCCAAAATCTTGGGAACATATCAAATCTTTAATGCTGCATAATGAAGCCGTGACAACTTTTTTTTAGCTTTCACATCACCTTGAGATAAAGGCTGAGTTTCGCTCATCTTTGGGAGCTGAAACTACTTTAGTTGCCCAATAAAGCAAGCTTTCAAGCCGTAAACCTCGAGGTAAGTTTAGAAATAAGGCACCTCAAACTACGGAGAAATCTAAGCAAGAGGCCAGGCATAGATGCAAGAGGCGCACAAGGGAAAAATTTGAGATATCTTGCTACAAGAGAAGAAGAGGATGTGTTAGGCGTTAGGCTAGAGGCCTGGCTATGCAAATATTTGCACTCAGGTGCTTATTGCTCAGTCATAATTTACTGGGTTGATTGTGGATTTAGGAGTGGCACGACATATATCAAGGGATCGAGAAAGGTTCGTTGACTCCAAACTTTGCTGGTTGAAAGCTAGAAGATCTTTATGGGGAATTGCGCATCAAAGGATGTACTAGGGGTTGGAATTTAACAATTCTGATTTCGAAGTGGATGAACCCTTTTTCTCTATTACATCCTCTATGCTCTCAGAATGAGAAAAATTTGCTTTCAGTTCTACGTTTAGTTAGAGATGGTTTCTTTATCAGTTTCATGCTTAATTATACTACATTTATATTTCTAGATAGTTTTCACTGTTATGGCCGGATTATAAATGACTTGTTTGTTTTGGATAATGATGATGCATTGTTTCAAAAAGCGGACCTCCCTGCAGCTGGGCGGCCGCCTAGGCGGATATCTCTGGGTGCCTACTTGAACCTACCTAGGCGGCCACTCAGGGCTTGCGCCCCAACTAAGGGCAGAACTGCGGCTCTTTGAGGGTATTTTTGGGTCATTTTTTTAATATTAAAGAGGAAACATTGTGGGTTTCAGATTCATTTGAAACCTAAAACCCATTAGAGATTATTTTAGAGAGAGAAACCCAAAAAAAATAAATTTCTATTGGGCCTCCCAAGTTCTGGGCACCCCCGCCTAGGCGCCCAGGACCCCCTCGACTGCCTAAGAGCCGCCTAACGATTTTTAAACACTGTGATAATGTTAATGTTTCAGTTCCTTCGACCCATATGACATCTTCATCTCTTTCCACCTCTTTTATTATGAATGACTATATGGACCATACATAACTCAATAATGTGGCATGTTAGGCTTGCTCATATAGGAAGCGATATGATAATTCGATTAGCTAAAGAAGGATTGTTGCCTTTATCCAAAATAGACTTGCCTATCTGTGAACCATGTATAGCTGAAAAATCAAATAAAAAGCCCTTTCCTAAAGCAAAGAGAGCAACTGGTCTTCTAGATATAATACATTCTGACATTTGTGGTCCATTTAATGCGATAGCTCATGGCGGTTCCCGTTATTTTATCACATTTATCGACGATTATTCTAGATACGAGTATGTATTCCTAAACTATCATAAATCACAAGCAATAGATGCTTTTGCCCATTTATGCTAGAGGTTGAACATTAGTTGGACAGAAGAATTAAGGTTCTTTACACTGATCGAAGGTGAGAGTATTGATCTGATCAATTTAAGAAGCTTTGTGAGGTCTACGATGGCTCATGTCAACTTCCCAAAATCAGTTTGGGGAGATGCACCCCTTACTGCCATGTATGTCCTAAACTGAGTGCCATCAAAATCTGTTTCCAATACCCCTTATGAGTTATAGACAGGTAAAAAGTCAGATCTTTCCCATTTACGTCCTTGAGGGTCAGTTCGATATGTTCACATCCCTTCTTAGTTGACGGGGAAACTGGACACGTGGTTTCTCGAGTACATTTTTGTCAGATATTCTAAGCACTAAAAGAGATATGTGTTCTGTCAAGAACGTGATAGTGGTGGGATGAAGGAAATAGAATCTCGCGATGTAGATTTGATGGAGAAGAAATTCTATAACATGAAGCGGTCTCACATGTTTGAAGAGCTCTATGAAGAGCTCGAATCTCAGATTGACATAAAGGTCGTTCCACCACTTGAGGTTATTATTGGGACTTTTCCCATGATTGCCAATGATAGTAAGAGTGAGCCACTCATAGTAAGAGTGAGCCACCCATTGAGAATGAGCAAATGACCTATATTGAGTCACCGACCATGTTAGAGGTTCCTATTGAGAGTGAATCGCATGTCAAACTTCAAAGAAGTCAACTTGAAAAATCTCCTCGTAAACACTTCAAAGTAGATGGCCTTACATGCATTTTACTTGATGCTGATGAGTTTGGTTCATTCATTGAATTCTTTTGCTGTGGATTAGTGGATGTCTACCAATGAAAGACGAGCTTAGCTCAGTGGAGTAGAATCAAATATGGGAGCTTGTAGATCTGCTGCCTAACAGAATATCAATTGGAAACAAGTTGGTCCTAAAAATCAAGAGGAAGGCAGATGAAACTATAGATAAGCATAAAGCCCGCTCAGTAGCGAAAGGGTTCACCCAAATTGAGGGAGTGGACTACGAAGAGGCACTCTCCCTAATGGTGAAAGTGACAATTATTTGTCTAAACCTAGTAATCGTCGCACATATGGATCTGGTACTCTTTCAAATGGATTTGAAGACTGCTTTTCTAAATGGTGACTTGATGGAAGAGATCTATATGGAGCAACCTAAATGTTTTGTAGCCCCTGACCTTGAGCGCAAAGTGCCCAAGTTCAAGAAGTCCATCTATTGTCTCAAGCAATCATCAAGACATTGGTAAATCAAATTCCTTAAGGCTTTAATTGCGTATGGTTTTGAAAATGCTTCAAGAAGACTATTGTGTATACATTAACAAATATAAGAAAAGCATCCAGATATTGTCTTTATATGATGATGATATTTTATTAGCTTGGGATGACCTGGAGTAACTTGTAGCCACGAAGGACTGGATGTCCTCCAAATTTGAGAAGAAGAAGATGGGTAAGGCGAGTTACATACTCGGTGTTAAGATACATCCAGATCACTCTCAAAGGTTTCTTGCTATATCGCAAGAAATATATATTCAAAGAATTCTTCAGTGATTCCGTATGCAAGACTCGAAAGCCATAGATACTCCGGTTGAAAAAAGGCATAATATAAGTCTCAAAATGTGTACATAGACAAAAGTTGATGTACGTGATATTTTGCACGCATCTAGATATCGCCTATGCAGTGGGTCTTGTTAGCTGGTACCAGAGTAATCCAAGTCAACGTCATTGACAAGTAGTGAAGAGGATTTTTCGAGACTTTCAGGGAACCTCGAGGCAGATGCTATGTTTCTAGGGAACAGATTTGCGGTTATGAGGATATATTAATGCTGATTAGGTAGCAGACTTAGAAGAGCATAAATCGACTTCGATTATGCCTTCTTGCTAGGAGGCGGTGTAGTCTCATGGTGTAGTAAGAAGCAGTCGTCTGTTGCTCTCTCCACCATGGAGTCTGAATACATTGCATGTAGTGGAGCAGTACAAGAAGCCGTATAGTTGAAAAGATTCCTAAGTAACTTGGGTGTTGTCACAACTGGTAATGAGCATGTCACTGTATTTTGTAATAATATAGCGGCACTTGATTTTGCAAAAGACTCAAAGTACCATGGAAGGTCAAAACATATTGATGTTAAATATGACTATATTTGAGACATTGTTGCACCCGAACAGATGGTGTTAACTCATATTCCTACAATTGAAATGGTTGCGGATCCCTTGACTAAGGCAGTTGTCAGGGAAGCATCAAACTCATGTAAGAACTATAAGCCTCAGGACCTTACGGGTTTATGTTACATTGTAGGATCTTGGTACCCTGTTATAATGGAATATGAATGTTATTTTGTGTTATGATGGATGGTTTGTGCAGTTTAACACACACAAGCACACAATAGTGTGAGATTATAATTTAATTTGATGGCAGGCTAAAGCTCATTACTAACACGAGTTACCCACAATATCCGAGATATTGGAGATGATATATACACATGGTGTATTTATCACCTCGACCAAGGGATCTAGATAACATTCCATAAAGAATTGACAATATCACTTCAAATTGATGTCTCGAAGATCATGTATCCTGTAAGTAGTCAGCGATGAACATTAGGGATGGTCAGGTTGATGCATGGATCTGACTGTGGAGCGTTAGGTAGCGATGGGTTGTATGGATGCGAAAAGACTATGACCTGCATGGTGTGGATTTGGATACACATTTTATGTGATCCACCATGATGTATGATTCATATCACACGTGTTGTTTTAATGACCAAAACTCCTACTTGTGTGGAAAAATATGATCCTTGTTCCTTTTTGTCACTTTGTGAGGCTAATAAGTAGATGACCCATGATGCACTCATAGACCTTAGACTGCAATAGGAGCATTTCTTCAATCATTCACTTTGATTGTACTCCTTAGGTTCAAGTATGAGACTTGTCTGGGACATTGCTGCGACAATGGTCAAGACAGAGTAGAATAATGTATGTTATCAGGGAAGACCGTTTTATATCACACTCTATTTTGGTACCATAAGAAACTAATACACATTATGCTCGCATTGAAAGTAATTGTTTAAAAATGGGTAGAGCAATCTTTTGAGCTGGGCTCATAAGGGATTAGTTGTGAACGCAGCCCGGTGTAGTCAAATCATGTTTAAGTCAATGGGAGGAAATTTTGTTTTGTTGGTATATTAGAGATGAGGTCTTCCATGCCAGTTGGTTGGACATTTGGTATTGTTCTCGCTATCAAAATGTTATCTCCAGTAGGCCGCACACCATATTTTCCCTTTGTATGAAAGAATTCTCACGAGGCAATAGCGAACAAACACTCTTATTTAGGGAAGTAACCCCTCCCACATACAGGATGAGTGATGTGGACATGAGGGTGCATCATTAGTGTGAGGGTACACCCAAGTGGACCACACCCCCATCATATTTGACTTATGTTACTACATGAAGGGAGGTGGGGAGATGTTGCACCTCTTCATGAGACTTTTTCTTATGGATATGCTTCCCTCAATTCGGCATCTGGTTTAGAGGAAAAGGATGAATGAGGGGATTCTTTGCAGAAGTTCGAACTAGAAAGTAACCTACTAGAGAGAGGGTATGGGACAGGTTATTTTTTATCTGGGGTGGAGCCACTCAACCTTATGAAGAGAGAGGGTTTGTGGAGAGTCTTTCCACCTCTCCCGGTGATTCTTGCACGTGCTAGTTCCACCTTCTCTCCATCCCACCTCTACATGAATAGATCAAACCGTCGGGTGGTTGGCTGGCAATCCCTCCATTCTGTCCCCTAACCCACGAGGAACAAAGAACAATGACAGAACTATCAGACGAGAAGGGAAAGTCATATGATTGCCATTAGCCTCCCATGAATGGCATGCACCAAGCACCATAAGGGTGCCCATTCATGAGGAGGTTACTCCCACATGAATGAGAGGCCCTTTCTCTCATTATAAAATGGGGAGGGGTGGAGGTCTTAACAAAACAACAATACACAAACGAGAAAGGTGTGAGAGGTGTGAAAAATCCTATTGAGAGAAAGAAAATGTATGTGTGAGAGAGAGTACAATCCCTCTCCCATTCGAGTTCTAAGGATAGAACAGGCCTTGAGAGAAAGAGTTGTGCATGAGAGTCAAGCCCGGACTGCTCCTCAATTGCATTTGTAAGAGTGTTTGTGAGCTTCCACCTCGCTTGGGATTTATGGTGTAGAACAGATTTCAGTAGCTCTAGTAGTTGTCGAACGTGCTTAAGGGAGTTGATCATTCATCTCCATACTTTTTCACCAAAAGTCTTATGCGACCACTAATGTATGATACTCGACTCCCGATTGTTTATTTTTCTTCCGCTTCAGCCGTTGGACCATTTTTTTTTCCAACACTATCAAACCATTTTGCTAATTAAAAAGTATCTTATTAATGCTAGCTTAGGGTCCTATAACATCAAAATGATGAATATGAAGAATTCTTTTGTGCAGCCGAAAATTGCATTATAGAGGCTAAATATGGTCATTAGTCATGAGCTTATGCTTAATTTAAGCCAAAGCTTAAAAATTTTTGAAAAAATCAAGGTGAAGGCTGTGATTCTCGGTTTTCCATTGAGAAAGAGGAAGTCACTACTAAGTGAAAAATCAATTGCAAACTTCAATCATACGGCATTCTGAACCCAACATCCACTGGATTCCTTAAGTTGAACATATCTGTGTTTAAAAAATTGAATTAAGGAATCTTAACACTAATTTCTATAAGCTATTTCGATTGTGCTTCATGAATGATCCGACAATGAGATGTGCTCTCTGACTGTAAAGCATGGTTTTGAGACTCGGCCAGATGTACTTGGATTCGGCCGAGTAACTCTGCTTCGCCCTATGGGCGAGGCAAGTTTTCATCGAGTATACTCTATATAAATTCTTAATGGTTATATATACTAATGTTCTTATTTTAATAATGAGTACACAAGTGGCATGCTGGTAGCAGTCATGTTTGCTGTCTAATATGGAAAGGGTTCGAAGCTCGCTGTATAACTTGTCAGTAAAAAAGCTAGCTAACGTATCATAAATGAGGGCCCCCTAAGAGCTACAAATATGGAAAGGGTTCGAAGCTCGCTGTATAACTTGTCAGTAAAAAAGCTAGCTAACGTATCATAAATGAGGGCCCCCTAAGAGCTACAACAGTGGCCATTGTACCATTCGATATTGAATGTTATAAACATATTATATATATTCAAATTTATGTGTTGATTTTTTATTTTTTAAACTCGTACTGTACTCGAGCGAGTTAATCAAACTCGCCGATTAACTCGCTCGAGTAGCTCAGTCCGGCCAAGGGCCGAGTCGATTTTGTGAACAATGATATAAATTATTATGTACCCTCGAATCATTAAAAATATGTTAAAATCTAGTCCAGGCGAGTATACCTCCAAGATGTAATAAAGACTTGTGAAAATTTTATATTTGATAAATATTTAGAGAATATAATAGGGATGGACCAAATTGATTTGCTTTTGAGCTTGGTTTAGGTCAGGACTTAAATATAAACTCATGGAACAAAGAATTGTTGTGCATCCTGTGTTGGTGGTTATTTTGGGGTTCTACAATATGGTGTAAATAAACTCCCATTTAATTAGGATCAAAATTAGGGG